ATATCCATTGGGGATGTATGATTCATCAATAGGTCATTTCAGAATAAAGCTATAGACAATTGATAAATATTGATTACGCACTTACTTTGTAAAAATTATAACAATTATTTAATAATTTGCATCCTTTTAAAAAAATTGTATCCTTCTACGTTATTAACATTCTAGGTATCACTTCCGTTTCTGTCAAAAAGATAGCAACTATTACAAGTAGATTGCCCTTTTTTCTGTATTACCACATTTAACAATGTATAAGTAAAAAAAAAAAATCTGCAATTTTTTTACGCGTAAAACATTTTTTGATTGTATCAACAGGCAGAAATAACTACTTAAAAAATGGAAATCCAATGAGAAATGTATATGATTTTAAAAGCATACTCAATTTTAAAAAAAAAATCCTGAGGCTATCGTCTAAGTCTCTTAGGGTGCGTTTTCTATTTAAGATATCAGAAAATGATAACCCTATATATACATAAGGAAAACAAATTTTAGTTTCAGCAGCTCTACTACAATACATCTAAGACAAGGAACATATTCGTGGGTCAATCAGCATTGCAATCGCTGCATTTGTATGAAATTTTTTTTCACTCATTATTCGAGAATAATTCCAAAAGTACTCGTTTTTCACGAAAGATGGCGTTGCTAATAATGTTAGATTACCATTCTGTGCTGCTATCTGTTTAACGGCGCTAAAACAAAATGTAATTCTGATTCATAAGTTAGTTTTGATTTGGCTGCAAATATAGTTACCAAGTTAAAACTAATCTGTTTTTCTGTGTCGAATTTGTTCTGGTGTCGCTTAACAAATGGCAGCACGCGATGATGACACCAACTTGTCTTAGTAACACCATGCTTTCGTCAAACGCAGGTAGTTTCTTAATCCCATCCTTAAGGATACCATCTTGATAAGATGATAAATAAGGAATTTTATTCAAGGCAGATTTGACAAAGGAAGGATACAGGAGGAGGAGGATTAATATTCGTATTATTTATCACTTTAAAATTTACTTTCATTTTCTCCGATTGATTAAAACAATCTTAATTTGTTTTCAATTATATCATTCGACAATTAAATAGTTATATTGGCAGCTGACATTGTAATTCTACGTGAATACCATGTCATTTCAGCCAGAACCTCATTCTTCTGACTTCCACACCATGGTAAGGGAAGAATTTCAGACACTCAAGTGTATTTAATGTACAACAGCCTCCATTTCTCTCGCCGATAAAAATAAGATTCGAAACTGGGAATCACTAGGTCGTTGTTGCGGCCCTAAAGCTATTTATTGCATTTCCTGAAATAACGACATTTACATTTCAAAATGTATCCCAAAGACCTTTTTGAAAACAATCATAGCTTAATTTGGCAGAGTTCATAACTTAACATTGTTGAGTGATCGAATGATAATTGAAGAGGTATGTATGACTGATTATAATAATATTTATTCCATTCAGACGAAATTGATGACCGAGACTCAAAAATAAATAAATAAAAGTCTGCCTGGAAAGTGTAATTCATTATTTTTTTTTTCTGTTTATCATTTAAATAAATGATAAATAGAAAAAAAAATAATAAACGTACACTTTCCAGACAGACTTATTTATGTATTTTTTTTATTCAAAAACATTTGAGATTCAAATCACAATTCAATAGCCATATTTCGAGAATTCAATATTTATCTGTCTGAATTTTATCGTTTAAATATATATTTCTGCGTATTATAAATTTTACATTTGAACTAGCACTTGAAATTTTCGGATATATTTTTCATATATATTTCAACCTGATTTGGCTCTCCCTTCATTTTAAGTTGAAAGATTTATATATAAGCATCAAAATTCAAACTACGTATTCTGAAAGTGATTTATGAAGCAGAAAAAAACTTATAACAGCCCAAACTTTTTGAAAATAATATAAATCCGCACTTCACAAAAATATAGAAGTAAATATGTATTACTCAGTCTAAGATGAACTGCGTGTCTGGAAGTCAGATGTAATAAAAAGAAACGTTATTCTTTCAGATACAAAACTGGTGCATTTTTTCAACTCGATTTGAAGCAAAAATCTGAAATATCTTCTTTCATAAGAATTCTGCAAGCAATCGATTTGAATTGAATATGAAAAAAAGATGAAAGAAACAGGAAATATATTTCGAGCTGGCGAATATTGATTCATCATGAAAAAATGTAAATAACACTTTCTGACAGTCAGAGCCGATGTGTTTTGATCCTATCGATATGAACTGTTTGTTAAAAACACGAGAGTCTTATGTACTTAAGCTCCATCACTCAAACAGGTTTACGTTAACTTTGTTTCAACCCGTTCGCATGTCAGACACTAAACTTTTTTTTTTTTAAATTCATTGAACAGTATTTACCATTTATCTTGTGCAAGCAAAACCGTGACATGTAATTGCTTGTTTCTTTAGAAAATATTCGATTGTTAAAAGGGATTCAGATTGAATTGTGAAGTGTAACAGTATATTTATGTGTTTATTATTGAACGTCGCAATGAGGAGCAACACGTGATCTATTGCTGATGATCCTCGTAATTTTGAACATCGGTTAAGTGACGAGGATGACACATAAGCTTCCCTCCTCTCCAAACTTCCACACTACGCCAATAGGAGGACATGAGACCTCGACTAAATTTAGCACACATCAAACCCGCTACACGGCGAATCTTTAATGGCATCAAGGCTCGAACTGACGAATCGAAGATAAGAATGTCAGACGTGCTGTTCGTTCGTGGCAATGACCATTGGGCTACCGTGACAATATGGTAAAAAAAAAAAAAAAAAAGGAGAAAGAGACTAAATGATTTTCTTAATTCTTCATCGCAGGTGCACAGAATTAATAACATTGTTAAGAGATCAAAGGTAACTAGATTATAATAATTGGTAAATTAATTAACGTAGTTTCTAATTAACAGTTACCGATTGGTTACTTAATTAACATAGTTTATTAACTTCTAAAAAGAAATGGCTGCGGTCGGCAAATGGTCATGGGCTTAAGATACGCCTTCGAAGAAAACATTTTGAATAAACGTAACTTTTGCCTACAAATGCATATTTTATGAACTTTATAGAACTTAAAAATTAGAAAAACATTTTAAAAAAATTTATTAGTGTACATTTTTACTGTCAAAAGGGCATTTTATACAAATATCAGCAAAAATTAAGATCTTCTGCAAAACATGGTAACTCAAAAGAAAATAGATTGACATTTAGAATAAATTGAATAATACAGAATATAACCTTAACTAAGGAATACACTATTACTTTGATAATATAGCCCTTAAGTAGAAGGCTATGATAGCTCGAGTTAGTTCTGAACACTGAAATTTCTTTAAAAGTCATTATAATTTTCTCTCTTTATTGCAGTGTATTTAAAATTCTGCTCAATATAAAATCTCAAGAATAATCTATATTCTATGTATAAGCATTTGAAAAATTTATATATATAATTTAAATAAATTTATATATATAAAAATTTATTTAAATTATATATATATTTAAATAAATTTATATATATTTTTATATAAATTTATATATATAAAAATTTATATATATAAGTTCATTGATTGCTAGCAGTTTGAGATATTATGTATAACTGTGTGTTATATGGAGGAAAAAAAAACGTTTTTAGAGCCTTTCCGGTCAGAGAAATTCATGATCAAGTAATATATTAAAAAAACAGTAGTAACTCAGCATTTAAATAAGATAGAAGCAAAATTCAAACATAATTTTAAAGATGAAAGACTAAATTTTAATAAATGACTCAAAATTTAAAAAAAAATTCGATATTTTAATCAAAAATTATGGTTTCTAAGGTGTTCTGTCACCTGAGGCCTTTCTTTCAGTCGAGCTGTAGGTTTGAATTTAATACGTTAGCATAATTTACGTAACATCGCTTTTTGAACTCTTAACTTAAAGCTGCGCTGAAACTCGCTCGATTTTTACTTCACGACATCGCAGAGGTGTTAAAGCTCCCCCGCATAGAGGAGTTGATGCGACATTAATTCTGTTGTGGTTCCAAGTCTTCACATTGGGATGGTGTGGAAGTTAAAGTGGGGTGCTGGGTCTGGTATCGTCCGCATCACTTCGCTGAAAATTCGAAGTCTATCACCAATACTCCTCGTAGTGCTTTCAAGTAGTACGTTATTAAAAAGAATCAATCAATTAAATTCTATTCAAATGCATTTTCTTAGCCACCCTAGGGATTATTGTTTTAGGCGGATTACTTTCTGCGTACCAGACCACTTTTTCATTTTTTTTTATCGTTTGCTTCAATTATAATTACATTTAGCTGAAATATATTCAAGTTAATAATTTATCGTTTGCTTTAATTTTAATATCGGGAAAGTTAACTATTGTCCATTTCGCGATATTTTATCGCTTACTTTAATTCTTATATTTAATCGAGTAATTTAATAACAATCATTAAAAAAAAGCATACCTTGGGGAGCTAAATATGTTCTTTTTAAAACTTTGCATAGAACTTTGGTCTTTTTTGTTTGCTTCAGATGAGACATTCGAAGCCATAAAACTTTCTACTTCACGCTTTTCAAGAATGTTTACACGAATCGATAGAAGACTATTTTCAAATTCTGAAACTTTAAGCGATCTGAAAAAGTAATTAATGTTATTATTAAAAATATAAATACTATATTTTTTTCATGAATACGGCAGCGAAAAAAATGAACACTAACATAGTATTATTTTTAATTTTAGATTCATCATATCACGCAGCCATCTTAAGTTCATAATCATAACCAAAACCATTAATAAGGAACATAAAATCTTTCTTGCTAATCACACTTCATATTCTCATAATTTTTGTAAAAAAATTATATGCATATTTTTATAAACACAGATTTAAAAATTGGAATTCGTAATATAAAAATAGAACAGAGCAATCAATGACGTGGGTATATTAAATTCAATGATAATTTTGTCAAAGAAGAAAAAAAATAACAAAAAAGAAAACGAGTAAAAATGAAATGTCAGTCGGTGGGATTCGAACCCATGTATCGCATATGGGAACGTCTCTGACTTTTTTTTATCATGCGTTCGCCTGACCACTCAGCCACGACTGCTTATAGAGGGCTGTCGCGGAATCGGTTTTAACGGATTTGCAGGGGGTATAAGAGTGGAGGGAAATTGCGATATTCTTACGATTCGATTCTCTGTTTAGTCAAAATTCTGCTAAGTGTAGGAGAAAACACAAAATTTCTCCATTTCCTTCCCCCTTCTCTCGAATTGAAAATGATAAATTACTAAAAGAATTATTGATATAAAGAGACTACTTTTAAGGAAACTAAAATTTTGGATATGAAACATGGGGCAGTTTTCTACAGGGGTCATTAAACCCAATATTCATAATTTAATACAATTCTATCCAATAGCTTGAAAAGTATTCAAAATTGAAATTATGATCCCAAATCGAATGCCGTTTCCGTTTTTTAAACTAATAAATATAATTTCTGAAATCGATTAACTGTTTATATTTTCATTTGCGTTCTTTATTCTTTTATTTCTGTGTGAATTGAAAATATGTAAGAAGACATGTAAAAGAGCTAAATTAATAAGGAAAACTTTACTGAGAGTAGCTTTTTTTCTCGTTGATTATTAATTTGTTCAGCCCTCTAAAGATAGAAAATGAAATTAAAGATAAAAGATCTAATAATATAAATACTTAAATATTCTTTCAAGGACAAGGAATTCCTTAAGAATTAGTCAGAGTATGTAAAAACATGAGTGTGTAAATTGTTGCACAGGATTATTCAAAATGATTTCCATCTGATTTCCAAGTTCTAGATTTTCATAAATAAATAATCCAGAATGATAAATAATACATGAATGCAATACGAAAAAATATGGAAATTTTTCTTACGTATGTTCGATATATAACTTCCTTTTGTTACACGTATAATGCCAATTCGATTTGTAAATTTCTTCCAAACACGTTGCAAAGTGTCAGTGGTAATTGTTGCACAGCAGCAGAAATCAGTGTTCAAGTTGAAATAAAATTGTGGGTAATGGTACCATTTTATTACATGGGGCCATATCAAATGACTTTGGTAGTCAGCTGTGTAACATGAAGTCATCTGGTCCACTGCGGCCGATCCAACTGCAAGGTAGATCCGTGAAAGATTCTAAAGTAACTTTCGTGAAATAGCTTTTCGAAGAACACATCAGAGCCATTTATTTTTCACAATATAAAACTTCCATAGTTATCCTTTGTATTTATGTATTAATTACTTATCATTCTGCGTCGTTTATTTTAAAAAAATATGGAATCACGAAATCGGATGAATCATTTTGAATAACCCTGTTTAATGAGTACAATAAGAGGAAAATTAACATTATCAAAGCTTATGTCTATGTTTCTCAATCGTTGTTGATTGACTGCCGATTAGCGTCGCATTTAGAAACAACGTGAAGACTATTACTATGGACTTCGTCATTTTTTAGCCTAGATCAAGTGACGATGATGACTCCTGAGCCAGTACCTCCTACCCCAAACTTCCATATCACTTGGTGCCTTGTCAGATTGAACTTGCATCGGCCCTGCTGCATGATGGGTCTTTAGAGGCATCCGTGCTCGAACCTGTGATTTTTCAGAAACGATACCAATATGACCATGACCATTAAGCTATCGTGTCCACTGAAATCGAGGAACATTAAATTCTGACATTTCTTTTAAATAGAACCCTTATTATTCAATGCGAGCTTTAAATCAGGGGCGGCCGACCTTTTTGAAATCAACGGTGCAGTGAAAAGTCCCAAGCTACTCTTTCTTCATAGTCTTTCTATCCTAAAAGAATAAAATACCGATATTGATTGATGCATATGTATTTTTAAAAACCCCTTTGTGTGTGTATATATATTTTTCAGTATTATTGTAACGAAATAATAAAAACCTCTCATAATTCTTAATTTCCCACGCTATTATGTTTTGTTTTTTAATTTAATATAAACCATTGTTGATAACTATGCTTTCCAAGGTATGACGAGAAAAAAAAATATTCTCATGGAGTAATTTTTTTTTTGTTGCTAGATTCGGATGTTTATTTCTTAGAGAAAACCATTATAACTCTTCTCTTGACAATTATTGTGGCATAATTTGCTCGATTTTCTAATCAGTCTAATACAAGCTGGTCAACCCAGGCCCACGGGCCGCCTGATTTCTACCTGAGGCCCACAGAAATGGTTCAGCGGCACAAAAATTTAAACTTTAAATGTACTAAAAGTACAAAAAAAAAATTCCTAGTGAGTCGTTTGTATCATATCCCATGACCATGGGAATACCTCAGTACGCTATCGTCAAAATTTTTCTTCTATATTCTTATTCAGAAGCAATAAAGTTGAGCTCCTTTTAAAAAGCGAGTGGACCGTCTTGTATGAGCGGGTTGCACACAATGTATACTTGACTAGGAAACCTACCAAAGAACATGGGTGTGCATTACTAGACGAGGGGAGGGAATGCGACGTGCAGATGATGCGAAATAGTAGCAGCCAGTCTGAGCCCGCTGACTAAATGCTCGGTGTCTTTTCATCGCTAATAATTTAGCTCTATCATTGTATTGAATTTCAGGAGGGTTTTATGTTTTGCATAAATACATTTAATTAAATAAAATATAATTACCCTTAATTTATTGCGGAATGTTCTTGACATCTCTAATGCGGTTCAGAAGAAATAGTCGCTACTTGCGATTCGAGAAGTGAAAATAATAGTTTTTAAAATGAGAATTTGAACTGCTATAAAACAGCCAAAATTAAAAAAGAAGGAAATAAATCGAATTCACACACACACACTATCGCCAGAATAAAATACCTTTCCAAAGTGGCCTACAAAGTCTTTTGCGTTATATAGGTCTGCTCTAATACGTGGGGTCATTTTCCCAAGCGATTAGATGTGTTTTAAGTTCACGTTACCAATTATTTATAGAAGGCACATTTTAATACGACATACGATGGCTCGGCACATTCTATAATCCATAGATTCGGGTTCAGCGCTGTCATTGTGTTCACAAAACTTCCTCTAAGAAGCCTCTGATCAGGAAGTATAATAGACTGAAAAAGGAGCCATGAGGTATGAAGCTAAAGTCTTGTGAGTAAAGGTTTCTGATGTTTTTGTAAAGTTTACCGAATCTAACAAAAGTACAACTCTTCAGAACTCAAAAATTTGTGTATAATTCGCAACGATTTTTTGAAGAAGAAATCCAATCATGGAAGCAACGTGATATCAGACCTTTTTAATCAGTAATTCTCATTCTTATCATAAAGTAGCCTGTCATAAATTGTTTTGTGTATCATTCATTGTACTGTATTGATTTTTCTTCGGACCACGCTTATAATTAAAACAACAATATCCGATAAAATAAATGCTGACTGCTTTGTGAGAATTTAATTTTGTAGCTACTTGAATAAGACATGAAGTACTCTTTGTGAGATATTTATATCACTAGAAAGAGCGCAAACACATAAAATTCATGCCTTAATGGTTTAATTTTTTTTTTTTATTCGAGAACTATTTATCTTTGATATCTTCGTTAAAAATTTATTGATGTTCAGTAATCTGACAAAATCGCTAATCCTCCATGACTGTATTATCGAATGTGCTAGATTAAAACGGGCTTTCTGAAAAAAAAAAAAAAAAACATTTAATTTTCATTCGCGTTTTCTGGTTACATTCCCGTACAAAAATGAATTTGCAATGTATTGATATTTCTTTTTCAAATTTTCTAGAACATATTTGATTTGATTTTTTTTTTTTTTTTGCGTAATACATGAAGTGACTTCACGGAACATCAATATTCTGCAGCCAAGAATTCAAAATCATGAGCTAAACTCATAATGTTACGAATTCGTGGAGCACTACAACAATATCAACTAAAAACGAATACAGCTAAAAAAAACTTTTACCAAGCGTTATTTTCCGAAAATATTTTTATTGTATACTAAAAACTGGTACCTATAGTCTAAGAAACGTTTTTTGTTGTGTCATAAACTGTTCTTAGAACCTGAAAAAGTCACTTTATTGAGCTGTCTATTGAATCTACTTCCTCTATCATAACAGAAGATTCAAACCACGCAACCACCACACACAAATTACATTTTAACAATACACACCATTTAACCACATTTTAACAATAACAATTTTTAATTACTATAAAACATTTAAGAGATTTAAATTTTAGAAAAGAAAAATATCAACTGACGACAAGAATAATTAAAAAAAAAAAATGTATGCCAAAGTGAGACTGAAGTGCAATCTGGAGTCAGCAGTGTAAGTCAAATAGTAGTTGGTTTACTTTTTCACAACTGCTCATATCACGTTTCATTGATATTCTTCTTCAAAACTACCGGCTCAGATTCACAATGGTAAGCGCGAAAGAATTGTGAGAACCCACAAACTAACATTGATATAATTAATAATATTATTTTAAAACCATACTGAATGTTATAGTTTCTTGATTTAAAATTATCGCAAAATGTTTGTACTTTTTTGTTTTGTTTTTATCATTCTAAAATATTGTCATTGAAATATAAATATAATGAAACATTTTATGTGATTTAAATGCTATTTATACTTTATTTTTTTATGTATACCTATATAAAGCCTTCAAAAAACCTTTAACTTAGTTACATAAAGACTCTTTAGCAAAAACAAGACCGTTACAGGAAAAATATTTAAAGAAACATAATTGACGAAAAATACGGAACTAATAAAATTACGCTGTGATTTCAAAATGAGTTTTTCGAATCACATGATAGAATTTACGCAAATTTTATTGTATCATTATTTATAAATATTATATACAAACTTACACACACACACACACACATATATATATATATCCTGGCTATTTAAAAGGTATGTAATGATATGTAAACGAAATTAATGCAATTACTTTTATATGATCGATTAATCTATGTTTTTAAGCTACATTAATCAATGTTAACGTTAAAATGTGCATAACTAACACAGGTTTTAATTCGTAGTTACTGAAATCACTAATTATTCTTAAAAATTTCTTCTGCACACCTGCCGCGAACTAATTTTTTTTTGTTACAGCACATTGGTGAAGTC